GAAGTCTCCCTCTATCGTGATCCAAGCCTGGAGGTCGTATATTACACCTAAAATTAGTTTTTCTTGACCTCCACGAACTCTACCCAAACAGACTCTGTTACTGCTCCATCTATTTTTATACCTGTTTTTATGCAACAATTAATATTTTCTCGAACATACAATGCAACTCCTCCCCCCTTCCCATTACATCTATCCACATTGAATAACTTAAATCCCTGAATATTACACTCAGCAGTCATATCCCGACTCATTAAATCATACCACGTTTCAGTTAATGCAATGATATCAAAGTTCCCAGCACATGCTACCAAACGTAGTTCATTAATTTTATTTCTTGCACTTCGACTGTTAGCATAAAATACCATCATATGTTTTTCTTCTGCACTTTTTTCCTATTCATCTTTGTTTTTACACAATTTTTGAAATTATCATTACCCAGAGTTACTCCATGACAGTTACTATTAAGATTCTTAATATCAGAGCATAAGTCAATATATCCATACTCATTATTAATCATTTCTAACCCAACCTCTAACTAATCCTAGTTTAAAGTCCTAACAACCCCCTCAACTGAGTTAGCAAGAAAACCCACACCTGCCCTGGATAAGTGAACCCCATCCCTGGCATACATGTCATTTCGGCCATAGAAGTTGTCCCAGTTGTCAATGAATGGTACTGCATTATCCTTACAGTGTTTATCCAGCCAACAATTAATACCAATTGCTCTGGACAACCATTCATTACCAACACCTCTTCTTGGCAAAATGCCACATATAACAGGGCGCCCCCCCTTCTTCCTAATCATGTCTATAGCTGTCCTGAACTTTCTAACTAAATCCTCACTTCTACGCTTGCCTACATCATTGCCTCCAGCACTGAGGCAAATAATAGGATTGATCCCATTACCGTTGATGATGTTGTCAAGCCGGCTAACAATGTCCTCCATCCCAGCCCCAGGAAAGCATACCCTTTGTCTCCTACTCCTGTCCTTCAAGCAGAATGCCCTATCCATGTATCTAACCTGGCTATCCCCAACAACAACAATACAGTGGACCCCCGGTTAACGAACTTTTTTCATTCCAGTAGTATGTTCAGGTGCCAGTACTGACCGAATTTTTTCCCATAAGGAATATTGTGAAGTAGATTAGTCCATTTCAGACCCCCAAACATACATGTACAAACGCACTTACATAAATACACTTACATAATTGGTCGCATTTGGAGGTGTTCGTTAAGCGGGGGTCCACTGTATTCTTACCTTCCTTGTTGTCGTTCGTCGTGACGATCCCAGTAGTAGATTCACATTCGTCGGGTAGCACCGAGAATGCGTTGGAGGTTTCCACGGGAGCTTCCACAGCAGTCTCTTTCTTCTTCATCGTTTCTGGCTTTCCATTCGTCTTCTTGATCGTCAACTTCGTCGTCCCCTGCTGTCCAGCCACTGACCACGATCCCTTCTTGACCTGAGGACTCGAAACAGGAGGACTACTACGAATCCTCTTGTTTTCCTCGGTCAATCGCCGTATCTCCATCTTCGCTGCCCTCAATTCTTCCTTAAGTTGCTGGTAAAGTTGCTCGATGGAGGGCATCTTGGTTCAGTCCACGGGAGCAAACAAGACACTTCTTCACAGAGTTAAGTATAGGTCAGCACTCAAAGTACAGGTCACCACTCAAGAGCCTTGAAAATCCAGTCGACTTGTCACTGCTGATTAAAAGGAAAGACCACTGGAACTGATGACACCTTTAGATGTCGTTTTGATAAGGACCTGCCTCGTATGGGCCAGTAGGCCTTCTGCAGTGTTCCTCCATTCTTATGTTGTTCTTATGTTCTTATGAGTGGGAGGGGTTGGATTTGAGTGGGACTTGCACATCAGAGCTTATTTCTTGGGTAGCATTGAAAATCAGGTTGGGCAAATGTTTTGTTAGTGGGATGAATTGTAAAGGACCTGCCTAGTATGGGCCAACAGGCCTGCTGCAGTGATCCTCCTTTCTTATGTTCTTATGTAATATGTTTATCAAATGTTATTTACTTCCCCTATATTAATTCTTGTTTTCCATTCATACACCTCCACAGTGTGACTGACTGTGTGCTGACTGTGTGTGAGTCTCACACACACAGTCTCTCATACACAGTCTCTCACACACAGTCTCACATGCACAGTGGAACTTACACATGGACAGTTTCAAATTTAGGTTGGATAAATACAAGGTTGGATAAATACAAACCGCAATAATGGATTCAAATTAGATAAGATTAGATTTAGAAAGGATATAGGAAAGTATTGGTTTAGTAATAGGGTAATTGATGAGTGAAACAGTCTACCTAGTAGGGTTATCGAAATTACCTAAGGACCTGCCTAGTATGGGCCAACAGGCCTGCTGCAGTGTTCCTCCTTTCTTATGTTCTTATGAAACTACCTTGGGTAGTTTCAAATTTAGGTTGGATAAGTACATGAGGGAGAGGGGTTGAATTTGAGCGGGATGTGCACGTGAGTAAATGGAATTGTGTTGTTAGGTAAGACACATATGCAACAGTTAGACAACTTTATTCCGAAACGTTTCGCCTACACAGTAGGCTTCTTCAGTCGAATACAGAAAGTAGGCAGGAACAGTGGAATGGAACTGAACTTCTCCAGGCCGAGGGACTGACAACCTCAAATTCTACGACTTCAAGGGTGATGGACTGATTACATCGTCTTCACATCTCTACTGTTCCTGCCTACTTTCTGTATTCGACTGAAGAAGCCTACTGTGTAGGCGAAACGTTTCGGAATAAAGTTGTCTAACTGTTGCATATGTGTCTTACCTAACAACCTGTCGGTATTGTATACCATTTTGATGTTCAAATGGGATTGTCTATGCTTATTGCTTAGGTAGCGTTTATTCTGTTAGTGGGTTGGATTTGTGAAAGACTTACCTAGTATGGGGAAACAGGCCTACTGTTGGGAAATAAAAATGCAAGCTCTGTAATTTAGGTTATAATATCCGCCACATCCTCTTTGGCGCAGATGCGGATGCAAATGCGGATATATATTGAATCGTGATTGCGGATGCGGATATCTCATTTAGAAAAACAAGGAGGTGGATGCCGATGTAAGAAATTGTGCAGATATTCCACGGATGCGGATACGGATATCCGATACATCCCTAGAGCAGGGGTCTCGACAGTGAAAGGGTTAACCCTTTGAGGGTTGAGAGCCTCAATTCTGAACTCCCACTGGTGGTTGAAAAATATTAGAAAGTAAATTTTTTTTCTTACCAAAATCTTAGGAATATTTTTCTGTGTTATAGGCTGAAGAAAAATTTTTTTGCTTTCAATGCTTACTGAGATATACAGTGGAACCCCGGTTTACGATATTATTTCATTCCAGAAGTATGTTCAGGTGCCAGTACTGAACGAATTTGTTCCCATAAGGAATATTGTGAATTAGATTAGTCCATTTCAGACCCCCAAACATACACGTACAAATGCACTTACATAAATACACTTACATAATTGGTCGCATTGGGAGGTGATCGTAAAGCGGGGGTCCACTGTATAGGCATAAATTTGACAGAAAGTGAACTGCTTACAGCAACATCGCCGACTGCCAGTCACTTGGTAATATTATATTTACTTTCATTCTACATTTTTATTTAATTTTTTTAATATTTAATGTTTTCAAGTAACTTTTATGCACTTTGAGACCAATATAAGACATTCTATATACATTATATGCTACTCATTAACCACACAAACACTGACAGGTGAACATTTTCACCTACGTTAGTCACATATGCACTACCGTCTAGAAATATATACATAGTATTTAAAGGTCCCCAAAATATTTTGGATACACAGACGTATATAATAATAATAATAATGTTTCCTTGAAGCATGGTGTAAGATGAATGTTAGCACTGCTGACAGTGCAGTAATGGTGACATTTGGTGAGTGTGCACTGCCTTGGCTTTATTTGTTTTCACAGTTACACGTAAACATGTCTGTCTGTCTAGATCTCTGTCTCTGCTTATCTCTGTCTCAGAGAGAGCCACTCGTGGACTCGCAGGTATTACACACGACACACGTATTACTTGCCAGTCATGCTTGCTATGCATCATATCTGGAAGCACAGTATAGCACTTTGTCTGGATATTTTGGGTTATCCTAGGTAATTTACATTAGAATTGTATTTATGTGTACTTGTGAGACAGAGATAGATATAGATACAGACAGACAATTATAGATACAGCCAAAGTCAATCAGCCAGCCAGCCAGCCATGTTGTTTACACAAACCCACGCTCTCTTCCCCACTCTCCACACTGCCCTCCCCACTACTGACAGTCTTCCCCACCAACTATGCTGTCTTCCCCACCACCCACATGCAGATAAGTCACTCTGATTTTTTTCAGTTATTTTAGGTAATCTACACATATGTTGCTATGTTTACACAAATCCACACTGCTTTCCCCACTGCCTGCATTGCCCTCCCCACTACCCACACTGCCCTCCCCACTACCCACATTCTTCCCCACCAACTATGCTGTCTTCCCCACCACCCACTCACAAATAAGTCATTTTTTCTGACGTTTTTGGTGGAAGGTTGAAAATGGTCTGGGTTTTCATCACTATTTCTTGTATCCTGGTCATTACTTTCTGTCACAAACTCTTCACTGACACTTCAGTCTGTGTTAGAACTATCACTTGGGAAGGTAAGAGTCACAATTCACCGGAGAGTCTGGTATTCCTTACCACTTTGCATGGTGACCAAAGTACACTGAATTACCACTCCCACAATGCAATGCGGGTGCCCCGATTTTTTCATAGTGTGCACGCTGACCACACAAGCCCATCCTCTTTCAGGCAGGCCTACCAGCTTTCTCCTGCTCGATTTGAAGGCTCTAGAATTTATGCATATAAGTATGTGACCGACACTGGCTGTTAAGACATACGTGTACATGATCGACCCTCGAAGGATTAATAATGGCATGTAGAAAAATTGTCTTTATTATTATATTGCAGTTATGTCGAAAATACAAAAGTGTGGTATCTTTCAATGCTCATATATCTCAAGAAGGAGCTGCCAGGTCTATGGTTTGTAAAGACATTGTAGAAAGCATTTTGATGCCCATCACGTGCCATGATGCCGATTTTGACATTAGAGGTGAGTAATTAATTTATTTATTTTTTTTTTACAAATTCTTAACAATTATGTTAGTATGCCTTCCATTCTATTGATTGAGCACAGGAAGCTGCCCATTAGGGTTATAACTTTTTTACTTTTCTCCAAATAAAATGTGTGTCATAAATCGATGAACTTTTGTTTAAAAACAATGAAAAGTCCCTAAGTCCTCTCAGTTTTCATAAAAGATCACCCCTAAATAAAAACTAGGGATCCCCAAATTATCTGCATTACTACTAAACTAGCAATCAAAGTACAATTGGGAAACTCAAATAATAAAAAAATATTCCCATATTTTTACTTTACAAATCAAAGTAGCAGTTATTCATCCGCAAAAAGATGGAAACTGCGCTGAATCAGCTTCAGCATAAAACATTTTAGTCCATCGAGGACTGGTCTAAATCTAAGGGGGGAGTATGAAAGAAAGTATTACTCCACCAACCAAAAAATCACAAGAAAAGTAAATTTCAACCATTTTGGGGGACATCAACAAAGTATCAACAGTCCCCAAATATCCCCAAACAGTTGTCGTTTGGGGCATTGACATTTCTCATCGTCGGGCAGAAATTTGCAAGTAAACATACAAAGGGGTGCTAAAATTGAAGGTGGAAATATGAAAAGTTGCAATGGAAGAATGGTCTTTTCTTCGATGGAAAGCCATGAGGAAAATGAGTATAGGTATTAGTACTTAAAAAGAAAGAAATGAAAGTAAAAAGGATGCACTGATTTGAAAGATGGCAAGGGTGAAACTATTTCGAAGGGGCAAAAGTTATTAACGAATAAACTTTTGGGATGATAAAGATGTTATTGTGATACACAAATGTTAACACAGGGAAAAAAGATGGGCTGTTGTCAAATACAATGAATGTTTCAGAGAAGGGGGTTAGCAAAACCCCAATTTATCAGTTGTCACTCACGTTTGAACGGATTCTCCCTTTGGGGAATGGGGGAAAATTGGGGGCTAAAACCGTTCCCCAAACCAAGTATCCTTTGTATCCCAACTGGTGAAAAATTTTAGGAACTAAAGGCACAGTTTTTTAAAGGAACGAAAAGATCCTCCTAAATCAGAAAGGAGAGAGATTGAACTTTTTTTACCATCTAACTTCTTTCATTCTTTTATGAAAAAGGGCACTTTTTTTTTAAACTTCAGAAATCCCAAAAATCAGCAAAGCGAGGGGGGAATTCAAGAGCCCTTCAGATTCTTGGGATTCTTTTTATACCTACAAGACAGAAGACATTGGAGAAGATATGCAGATTCATTTCATACACCTGGACAGATTATTGGTTTACTGATCAGATGTACGATGAATATGACTTTTAAGAATTTGTCAGAAATATTGAAACCTTACAAGAAAGCACTGAAATCATTGAAAAATCACTAGAAGCAGGAGCCATCTGTACTCAATATACCAAGAAGTAATCGGTGTGCTGAATGTGCACTCAAAGTTATGCAGGAACTGTATGCTGCCTGCAGAAACAAAAATAAACTGCAACTTCAGTTTATTCTAAGCAGTAAGTAGTAATATATGTACATATATGATAATGTGTTGAAAGAAAGATATGATAATGATACTGTAAGCCATTTTATTAGTTATTAATATTGTATGCCATATGCATTCAATTTACTTGTTTTCGTTACTCTCTTTTTTCATTTAGGGGTAACATTTACTAAAAAGATATTGCAGTGAAAGGTCGTTTCTTTGCTTTTAGGTATAAGTTCATCTGATTAAGGTACAGGAATATTAGGTTGTAAAAAGTTATAAGCCCATTCAACTCATTCAGCTGTTTCAACTACCCTACAAAGAGATCAGAATTAGGTAATTTGGCCAGTTTCACATAAAATTAAAAAAGTACCAATGTAAAAATATTCTTTCAACAAACCAGGCATATCCCACCAAAGCAGGGTGGCCCGAAAAGAAAATCAAGTTTCTCTTCATAACTTTAGTAATGTATACAGGAAAAGGGGCCACTAGCCCCTTGCTTCTGGCACTTTATTCGCCTCCTATGACACACACGGCTTTTGGAGGAAGATTCTGTTCCACTTCTCCATGGAGATAAGAAATAAACAAGAACAAGGACTATCAAGAAAATAGAAGAAAACCCAGAGAGTTTGGTATATACATGCTTATACATATATGTGTAGTGTGACCTCAGTGTAAGTAGAAGTAGCAAGACATACTTGAAACCTTGCATGTTTATAAGACAAAAAAGACACCAGGAATCCTACTATCATGTAAAACAGTTACAGGTTTCCATTTTACACTCGGCAAATTTAAAAAAAACAGTGGTCCCCCGGTATTCGATGGCATCAGTATCCGTTAAATCCGGTATTTGATACATTTTAACGCAAAAATTTTGCCTTGCCACTCGTTAAAAAACCCGCCACACGCGATTCATCCGAGACGTGTCCACGTGTGGTTTGAACTGCCCCATGCGTGCCAGTGTTTACAAGCCAGCCAGTGTGCTCGCATCTAAGGATACATTCGGTACATTCCATATTATCACAGTGTTTTTGGTGCTTGTTTCTGCAAAATAAGTCACCATGGGCCCCAAGAAAGCTTCTAGTGCCAACCCTGTGGTAAAAAGGGTGAGAATTAGTATGGAAATTAAGAAAGATTTTGAAGCCTATGCCAGTTGTGGAATCCATTGTGCCTACTTCAAAAATTAAGGAAATGTGTGCACAGTGGGTTGAACTGCAAACCTTTATGGATGAAAATCACCCTAACACAACTATTGCAAGACGTGCTGGTGACTATTACAATGACAATGTTGTGGTCCATTTTAGACAAATCGTAAAGGAACGGTAGGTACAGAGCTCTATGGACAGATTTGTTTTGCGACAGAGGTCCAGTGACTCTCAAGCTGGTCCTAGTGGCATTAAAAGAAGAAGGGAAGTAACCCCGGAAAAGGACTTGCTACCTCAAGTCCTAATGGAAGGGGATTCCCCTTCTAAACAATAAGTTCGACACTCTCCTCTCCTCCCATCAATCATCACCAGATCTTCATTAAAGATAAATGTCATGTATTCTATTGTTAGTAGAGTACTACAAGCTGTGCATGTCGTCTTCAGTTTGTGTGCATTTAGCTTAATATTTCATATGGTAAAAATTTTTTTTTCATACTTTTGGGTGTCTTGCACAGATTAATTTGATTTCCATTATTTCTTATGGGGAAAATTAATTCGCCTTTCAATAGTTTTGGCATACGATGAGCTCTCAGGAATGGATTAATATCAAATACTGGGGGTCCACTGTAGTCTCTAATAAACATTGTAGACATTCCTGGCACTAAAAAATTTCCTCTGTTCGTTAGTCACATTTCCAGGCCTCTCTTACATTACACTTGTCTTACAGTTTAAATTTTTATTCACACAAAAGTAGAAGATTTACTGCATTTCTCAGATATTAAGATACAGTGGAACTCCACATTTCGTCTGTTGTGGTTATCGTACAATTCGGGCTGCGACCACTTTTTTGGGCCAAATTTTACCCTGGGTTTCGTACCTCTGCTCAGGAATTGTCCATACTAGATGCATCCACCTGGGCTGCTCATGCATTCATGATATTAATACGTAATAATAATCACTCTTGGGCACATTAAATGTCTTATTTTAGGTTAATATAGACTATTAATATGTACAGTGGTCCCTCAATAATTGTCCAGCCTGAAAGTCGTCCTTTTCGGAAATTGTCCGTTAACTCGCTAATCGTCCTTCATCCAGGACGAGTACTCACGCTCTGAGCCACCTGGGCCTGCCTTCCCAGCCAGTGCGCCATTGTTTGCCAGTGAGCGACTGTCCCCTCACTTACTCCTACGAAATATTTCATAATATTCCATTGATTTTAGTGCTTGCAAATGCTAAATAAGCTACCATGGTTCCAAAGAAAGCTTTTTGTGCCAGCCCTTTGGTAAAGAATGTGAGAAACACATATAATTTATGAAAAAGTTTGTAGAAAAATACAAAGGTGGTGGTGGTAGAGTGGAAGCAGTTGTGATAGTGGTTGATGGTAGTAGTGATAACGGTAGAAGGTGGTAGTGATGGTGGTAACAGTTGTAATAGTGGTAGAAGGTGGTAGTGATGGTGGTAGAGGGTTCTTTCTTTAGTGATTCAGCAATTCTACCAACTCCTCCAATACTGTTGGAGTTATATAGGGCTACAGAAAACACCGCCGCCTCAGCTGCTGCTTCACCACCATTATGAACGGCTTACTCTCAGTGGCCCTTATACACCCAACAACACAACACAACACAACACCTCTTGTGATATACGTAATGACTTATTTTATTAATTCTAGAGTATATTCCATGTTTCTATGTTGTTAATATTGTTTATTATGTCATATTAGTTGAATTGTGATAGATAAATAAGCATAGAGTTGATATTAGTGTCATATTCTCCAACAATAAACTTGCCATCCCTCCGTCATACAAACAAGTCTCCAATAAGAACATAAGAAAGGAGGAACACTGCAGTAGGCCTGCTGGCCCATACTATGCCGGTCCTTCACAAATCCAACCCACTAACAGAACAAATGCTACCCAAGCAATAAGCTCAGGTGCAAGTCCAACTCAAATCCAACCCCTCTCACTCATGTATTTATCCAACCTAAATTTGAAACTACCCAATGTTTTAGCTTCGATCACCCTACTAGGCAGACCGTTCCACTCATCAACTACCCCTATACCCAATGTTCATTTATACATTTTATTAGTACTTTACATTTGTCATTTTTTTCTGCATGTAAATCTATATTTATGCTAGGGAAGTGACCCCTGAAGTGACCTAGAGTCCTTATGGAGGGGGATTCTCCTTCCAAACAATAACCTCTCTTCCCTCTCTCCTCCTCCCTGTCTTCCATTCATCAACAACAGCCTTCAATAAAGGTAACTGTCATGTTGAATGTTCATTCTTTTGTGCATGTAAATCTCTCTTTTAGGTAAAAAAAAAAATGTTGTTGATACTTCTGGGTGTCTGGAACGAA